CCTAATTAAAAATAAGATATCAATCATCTTACTGTTGTGATTATATTAACAGTAACAGTCAATCAGTAAATTTTTAATTAATACTAATTTTATAAATTAAGTGAGATTATATTTATTTGTAAAAATTTAATGAACCCTTGTTCTTACTCGTTCAGAGCTGCAGATAAAAAAGCTATTCACTTTTCTTTTTTGGGGGGCAAGAAAAAAGTGATCTTGCAGAAAGGCAGGAGTAAATTATACCCCATTCCCATTAATATATAAAAGACTCCTTTTTTTTTTTTTTTTTTCCTTTCTTTTTTTAATCTTCCCTTTTCTCCCCCTTCTCTCTCTCCGTCTTTCCCCCCTTTCCCTGCATAATTAGGGTTTGAAATGTGCAGACATGACGGATCAATCTGACCAACCCCCGGTTTCAGACCCCTATAAAAGGAACCAATCTTCCACTTCCAATTCCGATCTCGATCCCCCACCTCCTGATCCCCATAACGCGGCCGAAGATGAGCCCACGCTGCAGCTAGTCCAGCAGCTTCAAGACCTAGACTTTAAGGAGCCTGCAGATGAGCAGCCTGATGGACGCGATTCGAACGATGAAGAGGAGGAGGATTCGAAGAGCGAAGAGAGCGACAAAAATGATAATGGAGATGAGGATGAAACTGCGATCGCCGGTGAAGGTGGTGACGTTGATAAGATGAATGAGAGGAGAAGATACTTGTATCCTCTGCGACCCCAAGCCGAGGACTGCGCCTTTTATATGAAGACCGGGAAGTTGCAAATTTGGAGCCAATTGCAAGTTTAATCACCCTGTTCGAAGAAAAAAAGAGGTGCTTTTCGTCTCTTATATGAAACGTATATGTGCATGAATGAGTGAATTTTAATCTAATATTCTTTCCTATTCCATTATCGCCGCTAGACGCGAGTAGAATCTGTAGTTTTACATCGGATAGTTTCTGCGCATTTATTCTCGATGAATATAAACTAATGACATCGTCTTTGTTATGAGACGCAGTACCGTTACATTAGATGCAGTTATCTAATTGTATCTAACTAGGGGCAAAGCAACATTGTATTCTTTGAAGGGAACTCGGTTGCTGCGGATGTCATCTGATAACAATTATTTGAACCTCTGACCGGAAGTAATTATAAGTGGATGATTCTGCGATTTTCTTTTGTGCCGGATGGATAATTATCAATGTTGGTTTATTTACCTTTTTGAAATAGTGTTTTTAATAATAGGGTCCACATAATATTATTTTGTTGCTTCTGTGTTGTATTTGGAGAAAGAAACGAAAGTTTTGTTTACAACTAAAAACATGTATAAATAGGTTTATCGTTTCGGAAAAGTAGACACTTGGATCTTTTATCATTGTAGTAGCGGTTTGTTGGGATTATTGTACTTTGTGGTTTTAATGTTTTTGTGCACTTGTTTATTGTCTTATGGTGTCTTCAAATTTTGTTTCTGAAGGTATCTAAGGAGAAGGTGAAGGAAGGGGAAGAACAAGCAGAGAAGCCGGGGCAGACAGAGTGCAAGGTTAAATATTTTATATGACCCTTTTAGGAGATCTACAGTGTCACCTTAGTTGCATTTTGCCACTAAATTCTCTGAGGTTTAATTATTCTACTTCTGTTGATTGATTATCTACTAGCTGAACTTTAAATACTTCGATGATGTTTTTTGATGGTTTACGCTTGGAGAATCAAAAAGCAATTAAGGATGGATTTATCTAATCTGACTTCTTTGTGAAGCACTGTTTATATATTAAATTTTCAGTACAAAGTCATCATTACTTGGTACTGTGCTATTCTTATAATTTTCTAATGGTTTGTTGATTATATGCTCAATGAGCTTGCTTTTGAGCATTTTCTTTAACTCTTTCTATGAAGCTAGGTGTTCTTCCGGGATGTTGAGGAAATAATAAATGACTCTATTCTTACAAGTCTCCATATGACGGGTTTCAATTGATTAGTCTCTCAGACAGATAAATAGATAAAAAAATTCCCCTGCTCTGCTACTTGATTTTGACTGTCCTTTTTTTTTATTTTTCTTTTTCTTCCCCATATCTATTTTCTATGGTAGAATACCAAAGAATGTGCTTTTAGATGAGGGTGAAATCCTTCTCAATTTTTATTTTATTTTATTTTAACACTTTGGGAAATCTGGGATCCTGATGACAGTTTGTGGTTTAATAATTTTTCTATTGAGTTTTTTGCAGTATTACCTCAGGACAGGAGGGTGTAAGTATGGAAAAGCTTGTAGATATAATCACAGCAAAGCGAAAACTTCAGTGGCCTCTGTTTTAGAGCTGAACTTTCTTGGCCTGCCTATTCGACAGGTAATTAATCATAGATAACTTTATTGAGCCTTGCTGAACCTGCCACTTTGGATGTATCCTTGTTTGTTTTCTACAATTATTTATCTTTCATTGCATGCTTTGTCATTGTCCTCAATATTGGGATCTTAATTGATTCAGGGTGAGAAAGAATGTCCATATTATATGCGTAATGGCTCATGCAAATATGGAGCCAACTGCAAATTCAATCATCCTGATCCTACAGCTGTAGGAGGAGGTGACCCTTCTGGATACAATAACGGCGGATCTGTTTCATCACCAGCTCCGTCTCAAGTTAGCATAGGATCATGGTCATCGCCAAGGCCATTGAATGAAACTGGTCCTTTCATACCAATGATTTTTTCACCAACTCATGCTGTTCCATCACAAAACCCAGAATGGAACGGGTATCAGGTATGTTCATCACCTTTTTATCATTGAACTTTAATTCTCGTTAGTCTGGGCAATGGGCATTAACATTCTTTGTTAGTTTTATTTCCCCTATATTATTCCTGAGACTTATATGTTCCATAACCTTTTTTTCTTTTGTTGGTCCCTGAATCCCATTGTGAATTGTACCCAATATATTTTTGTATGATTTTTCAGTTCTGATATGTTTGTTTACTGTGAAAAGTTTTACGCACTTTGTTATGCTCTCTTTTATATGTCCAAGAAATAAACTCTCAAAAGACATACTAGCTTTGAAAAACTTAATTTCATGTCAAACCATGTAAAACAACAATATTCCTCAAAGTTGACAAGAAAAATGAACCATATATATCTGTTTTTTATTTTCCCTAAAAGCTTTAGCAGCTTTCTTGACATATAAGGCGCTATTTACTTCAGAGATGAAATGATATCCCCAGTTATCATGTGTTTGTGGCAACACAAATCCATGTCTATTTCATAGATTGAATAAAATTATTCAGGCATTCTTGACCCCAAATGGTGATTGACTCTCAAATATATTAGGAATCTCAAACCCACCAGAAGAAAACAAATTTATTCCTCAATAAGTGTCTTCTAGAGAAAAAAAAATCTGGATAGCTGATGATAAATTTTACTAATAAGACATCATCGAATCCATGAAACAGCACTTACACATACAGAGTTACTGAAATTAAGGTTGAAAACATAAGGGGATAACACAGAGGGGTTGGTGTATGGATGTCCATTCATGATTCCTTCGTGTTAATTGACTAGGAGCCGTCTCAGTTAAGTTAAGCCTCAATTGAGTGAAAGTTTATCAGCTTGCTTCGAACACTATGTCCAGCTGAACCAATTGTTTTATGGTATCGCGTTTTAGCAAACTGTAATACTGGCAAAGGGAAAGAGGTGTAATTTTGAGGATGAGAATTTTGGGATTTCAAAATCCAACCATTGGATTAAAAATTCATGTTGGTGCAGGAACTGGACAGAAACTCTCTTAAGCATATCTGATCGAGATTTTATCATGACTCAAGAGTTTATACACACACATAGATATAAACTTCTACTAGTTCTCTTCCTATTAGGAATGAGGCTTATTTTGGAATTTGTGGTTGTTAGAAGGTTGTGCTGTTATCATGCAACATAAAAGAGTTGTTAGAATGCTGTCCTTCCTAAAATACTGCTAAAACCTTAAACACTAATAAACACTTGAAACAATTTAAGCTGGAAATTGACAAAATTACTAAAATAACGCTGATCATTGAAGAAAAACTGAAAAAAAAAAAAAGAAATAAAGTTGAAGTTGTCTCTATGTTCCTGCATTACTCTCTTGAGCTTGTATTTCAAGAAAAAGAAAAGAGTTCTCTTGAGCTTGAGAGAGACTTGTCCTCAAGTTTAACTTCACCATGATCAAATAGATTGCAAAATAATCCTCCACTATTTTTTTTTAAAAATTTTTTCTCCAAATAGACTAAAAGAACATTGCTTTTTTGTAGGCAAAATTTTCTATTGTACGTCTAAGAAGCTTAGCTATGATTGCCATCATAGCATTCAAGTAGCTTTGCGTCTTCTGAGAATGATTTCCTTTGCCATAGAATCTTCTTATTTATGAGGAATTGTGTTTTTGCAATTTACACTGGCTGTAGATATTTACGGATTCCTATTTTAAAAAAAAGATTTTTACAAATTTCAAAATTTCTCCTTTGTACTTCGATAACCATCTTGGCATAGACTCGTCCATATCTTCAAAACAATCATCATAAATTTTGGTAAGCTCAAATCTTTAAAAACTATAACCGAGTCATCTTCAACACCTCTCTGCTTTTATCATGCTTGTCTTATGCCTAAATTTGGACTTCTGGATGTTCTTTCTGTTGTCTAGGGTTACCTTAGAGACTCTTTCTCAGAATACTTTTGTTGTCGAACCAGATGCTTAACCTGATTCTAATGCCAAGTTGATGCAATGGGATATATTTTTAGAGAAAATAGGCACTAGATGTTCAAATAATTATTTAATCTAGTACATAAAATAGAAGAATGAAAGAGAGAACAAATCTCTCTAGAAATTTAGTTGGAAAAAACTGGATCATATAGTACAAAGTCTCTCCATTTACAGACTAGAATATTTAATTTGGTTAATAGTTGCAAAAGGAATGGGACAGAAGTACACCTAACACAATAGAATAGAGTTCGTAAACAACAAAGACCTAACAATAAGCAGTTTCTAAGATATAATATAATTGGAAAGTAAAAAACTCAAAATCTTTCACAGAACTCTAGTTTTGTCCTGATGCTTTCATTACAAGTAAATGCCTGGTGTTCTTTTTATACTTGGCTTATTTTGTTATTCCACAACTTTGTCAGAGCAGATTAAAGGCCTTTACAAACTTATACTAATACTTGTAACAGCTTATAATCATGTTGCTTTCCTGACTGATATTCTTCTTTTCTCTTCTTTTTTTTTCTCTTTGCTTGTTAAGGCTCCTGTATATCCACCAGAGCGGAGCATGCATCCGCCAACAGCATATCTTATGAACAATCCAACAACTGAAGCCAGTGTTTACACACATCATCAGCCACAGAAGTTAGTTGATGAATTCCCCGAGCGACCTGGCCAACCGGAATGCAGTTATTTTTTAAAAACTGGTGACTGCAAGTTCAAATCCAATTGCAAATATCATCATCCAAAGAACAGAACAGTGAAAACACCTTCATGTGCTCTTAGTGACAAAGGCCTGCCCCTAAGACCTGTAAGTTCAATATTCTTCTAGGTTATGCTGTGTGCAGTGGATACATGAACTTATGATAGTTTTTATTCAATAACAAAGATAAATAGCTTGCAGGTCACTTAAAATCTTTGAGTAATTCAAGAATAGGTTTTTGTCTGCTGTCAAGTATTGATCTATGCTTCAAATTTGCATGGTTTTGGTTGTAATTAAAACTCGCACCTATTCTCCTTACTACCTGGTTATTTCTTTTATAATTCTAAATTTCTGCTTTGGAAAACCAGGATCAGAATGTCTGCACGCATTACAGCCGCTACGGCATCTGCAAGTTTGGTCCAGCTTGCAAATTTGACCATCCAATACAGCCTCCTAGTTCAATTGTATCTGCAGTAGATCAGGCTGCCCAGTTCAGCGGCTCTCAGACTACCGCTGAAGAGGTTAAAGTTACTGCTGATGGAAATGGAAGTGATGCCTCAATTCAGCAACATGTGTAAAATTTGGCATCAATTTTCTGTAGGTTTAGGCTTCTGACACTAGTAAGGATTTTAAATTTTCTCCTTAAAATATTTTAAGTTATACTTGTCCGGTTTTTTTCCTCTTAGCTGAGCCGCCACAAGCTGTTTTTTTTCCAGAAGGGATGGCATTATATAATCATATGTTGTGATGCTAGAAGCCAAAGCAGAAATCAGGATATGTACATTATCGATTTCCAATGTCATTTAGCAACTAATACAAACTGTTATATCATCTAATTTTCCATGCTTGTCTAGGTAGAATTGGTCTGCTTGGTTTATGCATGTATAGATAGCTCATCTTGTGAGCAGGCAGTGGTGTATTAGGTGGTGGAATTATTTGTTGTTTAATTGGGCGATTCCTCGTGCAGGTTTTAGAATGCTTAGGAATTAGTTAGAAGAAAAATATATAAAGGTAGGCATCCCTTAAACCCTTTGTTATTGTTCTAATGGATCATCAGCAGATCCAGCTAAGTATCATTGCTGAGTCTTAGAAGTATAGACAGGTTCTACATAGCTTTATGTGACCTTGGATTTGACTAGCTTTGGAATAAGTTCTGAAAGCAGCTTTTGAATCCATGATCACTTAAAGAGGTGCTTGTACTGCTGCGTAGTTTGCTCCATTCCAAGAACATGTCACTTGAAGTACTTCCAATAAAATACTACTAATCCTATTTCTGTACCTCCAATAAGCATATCACTCCATATAGTTGTATAGATTATTATTCTTTTTCGAAGAAACTCTATAGATTCTGAAGAAGTCAACATCTTTTCTGCATGAGCAGGGACATAATGAGATGAGGTTGCTCCAGAGGGAGAAACTCAATCAAGTACCAGCAGGGTCTTCTTAATTAAGGCATTGGCAATTTGATTATAAGATTTAGGAATTCAATTAACGATAAAAATATAAAAAAAATTTGCAAGTTCAAGAACATCATCTAGTAATAAATCAAATTCTCCTAATTTTTGGTGTTGTGGATTGAGTTTCGGGAATAAACTTCATCTACCTCAATGGTAATATTCTGTATACCCTTTTGTCATGCCAATTTAAGGCCAAATCTTATGATCGTGATCTCAGCTACCTCCACTCAACTTGTGAATGGGAATTGCCTCGTACATGTGAAAATTACTCTTCCACTGCATACGGCACCCAACACAGCCCAACCATTCTTCCCAAATAAAGCCAATGTACTTGGTCTGAAATACCCCAAGGGAGGAAGAGCCCATGATGTGGGTTGAGGAGATTTGAGACGTTGGGGTTGTGCTTTCCCATGGTTTGCTCATAGTCATATAAATTATTTTCAATTTCCATAACGAGGTGATGGAGATTAACTTTTTTTCTTTCCATTCATATTGTGGTGCAATTGGTTTTCACTCCACCATATCCCCCCACAACGTCATCATAAATCATGCACGCACAAATTTATTGGATGTAAATGCTCTCTGGAATCGACCACCTTACCACATATATAACATACTTAGTCAAAGATATACTTTTTTTGGTGTTAGAGACGAATTTTAAGTAATAGAATGTTTTTATAAATTCTCCAAACTAATTTTGGGATTTTTAATACTATAAGAGTATGTCAAAAATTTGGTTGATGGACTCTGATATAGTGGGTGAGGATTGACTCCTTTCATGTTTTTTCTTGAATAAAGCAATATAGTAATACATTTTTAATTAGACCAAATAAATTTATCACTAATTTTTATTTAGTCTATATGTACAAAACAAAGTTTATTATTTAATTGTTATTATTTTAAGTTACTTTAACAATTATTCGAGAGTTGAGAATTCAATTCTTAGTTGAGAATTTTCAAAATATAATTTTCAAACTCAAAGAATTTAAAGTGGTGGAAGGAAAATAACTAGGACATAGAAAATATTATATAATAATTATTTATTTTAAGATTAATATCAAACCTAAAACTAGAATGTAAATAAGAATTGAACTAAAAAGTAATAAACTAAACATGAATTTTTAAGAATACTAAAAATATGATCTGCCTCCAAGGGAATAACACGTTTATGATTAGGATAGACTTTCAAATAGGTTGCTTATTATGAAAGGAATACTAAAACTACGCTTCTAATTAGGATAGACTTTTAAATGGGTTGCTTATCATGAAAGGAATACTAAAAACACGCTTCTGATTAGGATAGACTTTCAAGTGGGTTGCTTATCATGGAAGGAATACTAAAAATACGCTTCTTCTTCTTTTTCTTCTTCTTTTTCTCCTTCTCCTTCTTCTTCTACTTCTCCTGCTTCTTCTTCTCCTTCTCCTTCTTCTTCTTCTTGTTCTTCTCCTTCTCCTTCTCCTTCTCCTTCTTCTTCTTCTCCTTCTTCTTCTTCTCCTTCTCCTTTTCCTTCTCCTTCTCCTTCTTCTTCTCCTTCTTCTTCTTATTCTTCTCCTATTTCTTCTCCTTCTCCTTCTTCTCATTTTCCTACTTCTCCTTCTTCTTCTTCTCCTTCTTCTTCTTCTTCTTCTCCTTTTTCTTTTCTTCTTATTCTCTTTCATCTTCTCCTTCATCTTCTTCTTTTCTTCTCCTTCATCTTCTCCTTATTCTCTTCCTTCTTCTTTTCTTTCTCCTTCTCCTTCTTCTCATTCTTCTCTTTCTTCTTCTCTTTCTTCTTCTCTTTCTTCTTCTCATTCTTCTCCTTCTTCTTCTTCTCTTTCTTCTTCTCCTTCTTCTCTTTCTTTTTCTTCTTCTTCTCCTTCTCCTTCTTCTCCTTCTCCTTCTTCTCCTTCTCCTCCTTCTCTTTCTTATCCTTCTTCTCCTTGTTCTCCTTCTTCTTTTCCTTCTTCTCCTCCTTCTCCTTCTCCTTCTTCTTTTTCTTTTTTTTTTCTTTTTTTTTTCTTCTTCTTTTTCTTTTTCTTCTTCTTCTTCTTCTTTTTCTTTTTCTTTTTCTTTTTCTTCTTCTCCTTCTTCTTCTCATTCTCCTTCTTCTTCTCCTTCTGCTTCTCCTTCTTCTTCTCATTCTTCTTCTCCTTCTACTTCTCTTTCTTCTTCTTCTTCTTTTTTTTTTCTGCTCCTTCTCTTTCTTCTTCTTCTTCTTTTCCTTCTCCTTCTCCTTCTCCTTCTTCTTCTTCTTTTCCTTCTCCTTCTTCTTCTTCTTTTTCTTCTTCTTCTTCTTCTTCTTCTTCTTCTCCTCCTCCTTTGTCTTCTTCTTCTTCTCCTCCTTTGTCTTCTTCTTCTTCTTCTCCTCCTTCTTTTTCTTTTTCTTTTTCTTATTCTTCTTCTTTTCTTTCTCCTTCTCCTTCTCCTTCTTCTTCTTCTCCTTCTTCTCATTCTTCTTTTTCTTCTTTTTCTTCTTCTTCTCCTCCTCCTTCATCATCATCTCATCATCATCATCATCATCATCTTCTCCTTATTATTATTATTATTATTATTATTATTGTTATTATTATAACCTGGATATAAAATGGATTGTCTATGGACATTGAATGCAATACATTTTATGCTGAAATGACTTATTAACTATGGAGGAAATTTCATTGGGTGATAACCTGGATATAAATAATGTGAACACCTATGTTTCTAAGCTTAAAGCACTATTTGATAAATTACAAAATTATGACTCAATTCCCAACTACACTTTTAGGGAATTGAAATATGCGGCTAACACCAACAACGTGATTGGGTGATAAAGTTCCTGATTGAATTAAATAAGTCTTATAAGGATATCGAAGCACAACTTTTGTTGATAAAACTATTTTCCTGTTTAAATGAAGTGTATTCAATTATTCAATAAGATGAGAGTTTAGGGAGATATCATCAAATACCTTATCTAACAGGTTGTTGGCCATCAATATTAAAGAGTCATTCTATTAAGAAATACTTTAACGTGAGCACTAATAAACCCCCTTTATGCTCATTGTAAAATTCTTAGGCATAATATAAAAGAGTGTTACAAATTACATGGATATCTAAAGGGAGGTAGGTCATGTGAGAAGTTAAAAATGTCTAACACAAATCAAGTTTTAATTTCTCCTCCCACTAAGGAAGTTATAATTAGAAAGTCACAGCTTAATCCCACAGTAACAATATGCACAACTAATGATTCTATTACAATAAAATAAGCCCTCTGCATAAATGGTTTAATCAACACCTTTAGTAAACACAAATGACAACACTCCTAAATTTTTTGGTATGTATCATAGCTCACACATAGTAAACTTAAAGTTATAGGGAATAACTCATTGGATAATAGATACATGTGTCTTAAATCCACGGTCTGCATACCACGTTTGTACACAAATGATGTGATCTTGCCTCTACTATTAGGTTATAAAATGGAGAAAAAATTAAGGTCACTTATGTTGGAATAATTAAATTTTCTAAAAAAATTTATGTGTACCTAGTATCAATTTCAACTTGATATCGGCCAGGAAATTGGCCAAAGGATTGCTTAATTTTTTGATCTAAAATTTACCCAAAATAGGACCTTGCAACATGGACAATGATTAGACTTGATAAAATAGAACGTGGTCTATATCTATTGCATGAGGGCCATAGTTATTTGGATGAAGACCAATGAATTCTAGCTACTGATTGATATCTCGTGAAAATTTGATGAAAGATTTTTTCCTTGAACAGTTAAGGCCAAATGTCACATTGTTTGTGTTTTACACCATTCATCAATAGATTGACTTTTTTGTTAGTAAACATAATTTTATATCTTATTTTGATATTTGTGGACCATGTAATGAGGTGCACTATGGTGGACATAAATTTTTTTTTTATCTATTCTTGATGACTGTAACAGATGCACTTAAGTATTTTTATTTAAGACCAAGCTAGTGGCAGGACCAACATTGTAAGGGTTCCATGCTTGAGTTATAACTCAATTTGGTGCCAAAATAAAGCTAATACGTACTAACAATGATAAGGAATTTAATATACAACTACTTTAAAAATTACATAATACATAAAAAAAGTTGTGTGAAGACTCTATAATAGAATGATAAAATTAGAAAGAAATACCATTAGATTATGAATACAGTCAGAGCACTAAAAGTGATCCTGAGTTAATGTATTAAAGTGATTTTGTTCCACCAGCAGTATATATATCATTAACAGATCCCTTCGATAATTCAAGATAGAACACTTTCTCAGATGCTGTCAGAAAGAAATCGACATATGATTATATCAAGATAGAACACATTTTCATTTGTTGGTCAGAAAGAAATCGACATATGATCATATGCGTATTTTTGGGTGTTTGGCTTTCACTTCAACACTTACCAGTAATAGGCACAAATTTGATTCAAGGGCCAGAAGATGTGCATTCTTTGAATATCCATGTGAGATGAAAAGGATACAAACTACTAGATATGAAGGATGAAAAAGTATTTATGTCCAGAAATATGTATTTCATGAAGACATCATGTCCTATAAGGAACAAATGTTTAAAAGAAGAGATCGAGAGAACTTAAATTTTCTAACTAAAGATGATTTAAATTAATGGGCAAAATGGTCAAAATGTTGAAAAAAAGACACCATCTTTATAGATGGCTAATGGATAAAATGGTCTTTTTAAAAATAATTTAAGTTAATAAAGATTAAATTAATTGTGGATTATTTCTTCTTACTTGTAAATGGATGGAAATAAGGGGTGGAAATCACAAGTTCCGCCCTAGAATTTTAGATTTTGAGTTTGTTTCTTGTTTTTGAGAGTTCATATTTTTATCTAAGTCTGCCATATAAATATGTGGTTTTGTTTTCTTTATGGGACATAATGTGAAAAGAGAACAAAATTGGAAAACTCTTTTTTTTGTCTTTTCTTTTTTCGCTTAAATTGACTCACAAGAGAGATTAACTAATATTATGGAGCTCATAATTAAATTAATTTTCTCTAACCCAATGTAGATCCTATTAGTACGAATACTATTATAGAGAGAAAATCTTGTACTTTTATCTCTGGATTGTAGCGAAGAACATAAAATTTAAAATTTGTTTGAGTCAAAAATTTAAAGCAACCAATAAAAATATTGATATTATAAATAGATAACAATTATTAGGTTATTTTTTTAGAAATAGATTAATCCTATTTAATATTCATGCTAGATCTATTTTGTATTATAGAGCTTACCTTGCATTTTAATTAAATTTGCAATCCATAGATCGAACTAGATTGAAAAAAATACAAAATCATAACTAAAAGGCGTAATGAGTGCCCTTATTTACCATGAATGAATATATTAGTTTGACACTGAGAGTCTCTTTTAAAGCTTGAAAAATATTTCTCTTATAACCTCTTGCTAGAAGTTTCTCCATCTCTACCATGTACAACAATTACCTCCTATTGATGCATTTACCTACCTTAATGAAAATTTTAAACAAGATTTATAGAGGATTTTTAAATTAAAAAAAATAAATTACAATTCCACCATAATGTCTACACTCTTCCAATTCATATAAAGTTGATAGTAGTTTTTGGCAAACTCAACTCTCATATGGTAACATCATCTAATTCAGTTTTTACCTCTTCACCTTTCTTCCTGGTGTCATTAAAATGTCTCTAATAATTGCTTCTTGCATGCATCCACTAATTGGGAAATGGAATAGGGAGCTTGGAATTATTTGTATATTATTGTCTATATTCTTTATGTACAATGAGGTTACTCATCATTTCTCAAAGATTTGACAAGAGACTAAACTATTTGCTTCAGTATGTAAACTCATGCTCTAAAAATTCAATTGAATAGAGACAAACCAGACACTCTAGTAAGATTGTTGTTTTTTTTGTTAGAGTCTAATGATATTGCCAGGTTGGTCCATCATCCTTACACCTTGAGTATGCTCCCACCTTATTGAGATATATCCCCCACTCTAAAATGTTTTCATTAACTAGTGCATATGCTTCCCTTAATTACCATATCTTTTTCTTTATTTTTTTTTTTTACAAAAGATGTTAATTAATGATGTTAATTTTTACCATAAACAAATTATAATATAATAGTCTGTTTCATAAACTAATTACATTGGATGTGATTAGTATAATATAATTCAACATATAATATTAAATATCATATGATACTGTTAGGCATGAAATGTTATTTTCTATTTATTCTTCGAAGTGAATTTGACAATTGCACATGATAAAGGTCCTCTATATTATGTAATATCAATAGTGAGATGAAATCATAATAAATAATTACCTTTAAAAATATTTTATAAAAGGTAATATTTTATAAATATATCTAGTGGTATGATCAATATTGTTTAGAATATATAAAATTTTAATGTCTACAATTATCTTTAGAAATTAGGTGGTTTACTTTATAATTTTGTTTTTCTTTGTGTTTTTAACTTTTAAAATTAACAGTACTAAAAAATAAAAAAAGATACCTTAAAAAATAAATTCAGTACAGAACATAGTGTTAATTTTTGCTAATAGAGCTTATATTGGCTGATTTTATCAATTAGTGTGTTAACTGATTTTATGAAGAAAAAAAAAAAAAAAGGGATTTCAGATATTGCATACTGCTATTAGTATGTATGTAATGTATACCAACCATCATTAATAGGGAAGTATGAAGTATGATACTCAATACGAGAGCAAACTAGATTCTCAACCAAAGTAATTAAATAATATATTTTTAATTATTGATTAAAGATGTGTGTGTGTGTGAATACATGAGATCACAGTCATAAGAAGAAAAGGAAAGAAAATGGCTTTTTTTTTTTTTTTTTTTTCCATACAAGGAAGGAATGTTCCTCTATATCATTCCATTATTTTCTTTCTGTTAATTAAGGAGAAAAGAGTTCTTTTAATGGTACCTTCAAGTATCAACACCTTTCCAACCATTAAGATTGAAGGGTGTATGGTTTCTTCAATGTACCACAAGATCACCCTAAAAAAAATACTCCAGAATGTAATCATAAAACAAAAAGGAGAAAGAAAAGGAGAAAAAAAAAAAAAAAAAAAAGATCACACAATTTAGTGCTCCAGCAGTAGTAAGCCAGGGATACTGATAAAGAAACGCCGCATCTAAGAATACCTCTGCCAAGTTAATTAATCAATTTATAAGTTGAGCAGATTCAACCAAATGCGCAGCAAAGCCACTTTTTCTGCATGAAGAATCATCAAAGATGTAACTAACAAGAAAATAAATTTCCCATCCACAAGATATATGTATGTATGTATGTATATATAGAAATACCTTGGGATGAAATTTGTAGTCTTCTTTCTTAGAGTAATCAACCTCTGACCTTCGTGGAGAAACCAGTTGTACAGCAGCTGCATTGGACTTTTTGATCTTCTTCTCATCTCTTGCCTTGTTAAATATAACAGTAAATCCTTCAGCTGAGGCAGGGTTCGTCACATCCCACTCTCCAAACTTAGGCAATGGTCGGCCTCCCTGCACAATCATAATACAAACAACATTCGTTCTTATGTAATCACATACAAAACAAAATCTTAAAAACATCTTTCTGTTTTCTTTCTCAGTTGACAAGAGATTATGCAGATAATGTTAATTGTTAGCAGACAGACGAAAAGTATTGATCACCAACATGATTCTTTCTGTCTTAGAATTCCATTTGATTGTTTGTTCTATTTTTTATTTAATTATTGAACTGTTATTATGTTTGAATCAATTTCATTCCTAACTTAGTGAAGGGGTTTTAATGGTCTACCTGCATAGATGCGTCGGAATTATTCTCCATGGAAAATTGTATTGTCATTTCTCATTTATTAGTGGTTTGTTACTCCGTAAGGCAAACTATTAAATAGGAAATTTGATAAAATAAGAAAACTACCAAATTACTCATATTATATTTCTATTCTCTTCCAGTTCCATCCAAAGGTTTGATTGTGTCTTCTGTAATCAGGCCTCTATATTGATCTATGAATGGAACCTCTATGATAAAAGGAACCATCGATTAATACAGAAAAATTCCAACACAAAACAGAGGTTCGATTCATAGACAAATATAAGGCCGATTACAGGAGATATAATCAAATTCAGGTTTTCGGAATTAAATCACAAACAAAGAAGTTGCAAATTTGGTTGACGGAAGGAAGAAAAGAAGAAGAGAGATGTCAAACCGCAATTGAAATGTAACCAAGGCAAGAGAAGTGATTGTTAAAAAGGACAGAGAGAGAGAGAGAGAGAGAGAGAGAGAGAGAGGTTACCGTAGCCATTGGGGGGAACAATGCAGCACTGGTTCTGTTTGCAGAAACAATGCGATGATGTCTGGAGAGAGAAGC